AACGAACGGCGGAGGCGGCCAAAACTATAGACGCGTTTTGAGCTCCAGAGCCGCTAAATGGGACTCGAACCGAACGTGTGACCCCACCAATGGATTGCTCTCAGAACGAGGAATCCATTGGTGGGGTCACGCCGAGGGGGCAAAAACTCGCGCAATCATGTGTACACGGCCCCCGAAATCACACGCGAATTATTGAGAATCACGCGAAATCAAGCAATCCGAAATCAGCCAAAATCACTAAAATCGACCGAAATCAGGCAGAATCACACGAAACCAGGCCAAATCAGTCCGAAATCATTTCTTTCCAAACACTATCACACGCAATCACGCTCAACATCACCCTGGTGCGTCGCGAAATAAGGCAAAATCAGCCATGAAATCAATTAAAACCATGCGCAATCATTGCGTTTTCCGAATCATGTGTACACGAAAATCCCGAGTTTTTGCCCCCTCGGGTCACGCGTTCGGTTCGAGTCCCATTTAGCGACTCTGGAGCCCCAAACGCGCCTAGAGTTTTGGCCGCCTCCACCGGCTTCTGGCCCACTGTGCGGTCTCGATCAATGCTGTGATTTGCAGGCGCATCCGACCGCAGTCAATGTAAAAGTCTACATCTGGCGCGAAAGAACCCTCTCTGATTCGATTGTTCTGGCCTCACAACTGACTCAAGCTTGAAGCCCGCCGTTTTTTTAGCCAGACATGTCCGGAAATAGCACAGAAACAGGCTCCCGAGTAGCTTCTGTATAATGACAGTTGGGCTTCCCTTTTGTGTCGATCGCATCGGCATCGTCGGCAGGCCGATCGGACGTCGTCGTCGTTCCGATTAATCCCCAGTCTAGTTTCTTGTTTTGCGCCTCCGAGCGATTAGGGCCAAATCGCTGCCGCCGTGCCGCATCCCGGCCGCACGTGGAGACCGCTGTCTCTCTCGCTCCCGCGGCCCGCCCCACTGTGGGTGCGAGAGAGACAGAGTGGCGATGCACAGACTGACTGTACACGAGACACACGCGCCCGAACGAATTAAAATGATTTCAGCCAACACTCCACATTGATGCAGGCGCGCGTGTGTGCGTGCGTGTTGTGTCTGTGTGCGTAAAAATGTCTGTGTGCGTCTGGTCGTAAATGCTCTGCCACACTCCGTTCGCACGTATTTAGCCCGCCTGCGTCACTGGGCGTCTCCGTCTCATGACGTCGCCTCGCCAGCGACGGCCGCGGACGCCGCGGACCGCCCGGACCAGACCGAGTGGTCAGGCATCCTGGACCAGCCAGGTCGAGCCAGCTTCTGCCGTGCAGCCGAGCATTCCGAAGAACCATCTCGTCGCTCTGTCTCTCTCGCACTCACGGGGCGGCGCGAAGCGCGAAGCGGCGCGAGACAGACAGAGCGACGGATCGCTGCGCACAATAGCCTCCTGCTGCGTGCGTCGTGCGTTTGTCCACCGAGGGCGATGATTATTTTGGCGCGTCTCACAGCCAATGTCACGTAGGAGCAAGCGGGTCGCGGCGAAAAATAAAAATACCTCGGGAACCGGTTTACCGCCGCCGTGCCGCCGTCCCGCCTGGAAGACGCGTGTCTTGTCCGCACCGACGACGACGACGACGACTACTGCAAATCGCCCAAATTGGCCACCTCCGCGGCAAATGCACGAATTCGTCGTGCCAGTTGGAGTGGAGACCGCGGATTCGTCTCGAGCCTCGCGGCGTTGGCGGCGCACAGTGGGCCAGAGGCCGGTGGAGGCGGACAAAACTCTAGACGCGTTTTGAGCTGCAGAGTCGCTAAATGGGACTCGAACCGAACGTGTGACCCCACCAATGGATTGCTCTCAGAACGAGGAATCCATTGGTGGGGTCACACTTTCGGTTTGCGTCCTGATTAGCGACTCTGGAGCTCAAAACGCGTCTAGCGTTTTGGCCGCCTCCACCGGTCTTCTGGCCCACTGTGCGACGGCCCGTTGCGTTTTTTCCCACCGGCAGTTTTGCCGGGTCGCGGGGTGGTACAAGGGCGTCCGGCCGACTTAGTGCGTGTGTGTGTGTGTATGTGTGTGTGCGTGTGCGCGTGTGCGTGCGTGCCGGCGCTTTGAACCTGACCCCTGGCATTGGCGGGGAGGCGACGCGCGGTGGCGGTGCGCGCGGTGCGCTTGCGCTCCCCGTGCAGCCCGCGTTGAGGTCTCCGCTCCGGCCGTCGCAGGGCGCAGGGCGAGGCGCAGGTGGCCTGGCTGGAGGGCGGCCCGCGGCGGACACCCGTCCCGTCGGCCAAGCCGGTTCGCGCCGTAACGCAGCCCAGCCCGGCTGCCCGGCATGCCGGGGGGCTTGTTGTGGGCTGACGTAACGCAACCGGCTGCCGGACCAGCCAAGGGACCAGCCAAGGGACCAGCCCTTGCGGCCGAGCGGACGCGCTGGACGCCGAGGCCCGCATCCGAAGGTGTCCCCGCGCGGCCGGCGACGACGCCGACGTGAAGGTGAGGCGGTGCCCGTCCCGCCCGACGCGTCCCGACGCCAATAATCCTAGTGCTAACCTACGTGGCCCGTCTCCGCCGGGAAGTACTGTTTGTTTTTTCCTGAACGCTTCGCGCCTTTGCGCGCCACGAGTCGATGAGCCTCGTCGTCAAGGCAAAGGTTGGCGGAGGTTTTTCACTGCCCCCTCCCCCCTGGCCGTCCTTCGCACCGTCAATGACGCACACTGCGCTCATCCGAGTGGCGCTCTAATCTGCGGACGCACGACGTCGCTCCGTCTCTCTCGCGCCCCTGCGAGACGCGCCATTAGTGCGACGGAGACAAAGCGGCGAAATGATGCTTCGGCGTGAGGCGGCTGGCGTGGTGACGTAGCGCGGCCGCTGCGGCCGGCCGGGCCGCCTGGAAGGTAGGCAGCGCGTCCCTCCAGCGCGGCGGTGGCGGCGGGTTGCCTACGGTCTCAAGCAAGTGCAGCTTCTCGCTCCAGGCACTCCAGGAAGCCGAGGAGGACGCGCTGCTCGACGCGCTGGCGCACGCGGCGCTCGCTCGAAGCCGAAGCCCGGACGCGAGCGTCTCCGGGTGTGCGTCAAGCGGGTCATTAGCGAGTAAATGTTGACGCCTCGGACGTCACCGACGTCACCACCGAGTCCTTCTTATACGAGCGGCGTGAATCAACAGCTGTCCATCGCCAAGCGTCGCGATGCCTGCAATGCGACTATCGGCTCAGCAGCGCGCACTTAAACCGACCGAAACGTTCCTCCGTTCCGCGTTTCGTGTCCGAAACGAAATTCCGCGCTGCGCTTCGTGTTCTTTCTTTACTCCGACGGTCTTCCGCAGCCTGTCGTCTGCCTTGACAGATTCCTGTTCGCGGCGCCGCCGCCGCTGCTGGCCGCTGCCGCTTGATCGCCGCGGAATTAAAAATGTGTTTCTCCGTCCGGCGGTCCACCGGCCGCCCGGCCGCCTTGCCCATAACCAGCCCGCAGCTCCGCGGCCCGGCCGAGGAAAAGAAACCGCGAAAAAAGGAAAAACGGAAACGAGGCTCGGCGCACGTCTCGGCGATCGGCTTGGCCGAGGCTTGGCCGAGACTTGGCCGTCGACGGCAAGGCTGTTCATCCCGAACAGCGCCAACGAGAACGAGACCCGCTTCTCGTTGACAGTGTCGAAGGGCGCGCGGCCCGCGAGGCGCCACGGCGCCAGCCGCGCCAGCCGCGCCAGCCCAGTGGCAGGGGAGGGGAAAGCGGTGGCCGGGCGGGACGGGGCGGGGCGGTGTAGGGCCCTAGAGGGCCCAGGGCGCGCTGGCGACGGACGGTTCGCGTTGGAATGTGCGAGGTGACTGGCCACTGCGCACCGCCCCACCCCGCCCCGCCCCGCCCCGCCCCGCCTGCCGCGGTAGGGGTGGGATGTCACCCAACCGAGTGGCGGGGTGGGTACTCGGCCCTGCGGCCTATCGGTCCCTCGTCGTCACTGGACGGGTTTTTTGACCTACGCAGGACCGTGGCTGCTGACGTCACGCTCCATAGTGGAGGGGGTGGGGGTGCTGGTGACCCTTAGACCGCGCACCGCGCCCGGCGCGCCCCGCGCTCGCCACAATCCTGGCGGGTGGCTGGCCAGTGCCTGACCTATGTCGCCTCCAAGGTTGCCGGCGTCAGCGCCAGGAAGTTATTTTTTCTGCCGTTTTGCGATGCTGTTTGCTCGTTCAAGTGCGTGTTTGTCGAGGCGGGGCCGGGCGGGGCCGGGTCGTCCTGACAGCCATTCAGAGGAAACTCACTGGTCGTCTCGCCGCTGGCGTTGGCCCGACCCGTATCCTTATCGGACCCGACCCACCCGGCCTGTGGCGGCCAACCCTTGGCGCCGAGTCAAGCCCAGCCGAAAATCCCGGTTACGGTTCCGAGTACGGTTACGACCGGGATAGGATTCCGACCGGGATACGATTCCGGCCGGAATACGATTACGACCGTAATTTCGGACATTTCCGGTTACGACTACGATCGTAACCAGGAAGGGTTTACGACCGTAACTGACCATTCCGGTCGGAGTGCAAAGTGTCACAAGACATCAAGTTTGTCTTCTGTGGTGCTCCATCAAGCAGAGATCCGCGTTATATATGCATGACCACAGGGTAAACTTTGCGAGCTACGCCCAATTTTGACTTCAGAAATTTATTATAAGTTACCGTTCACAAGTTATGGAGTGTTTCTGAAAATTCGCTGGAGACTTAAACGCATGGGACATGCTTCTTCGAGTCCGGCCTCGGACCCGGATCTGGTCCGATCGTAACCGGAATGGGTCCGGTCGTAACCGGAACGAGTCCGATCGTAACCGGGACGAGTCCGGTCGTAACCGGGACGTGACCGACCGTAACCGTAAATTAGGTCCGGTTTCCGATCGCAACCGGAAAATTTGGGGCGATTTACGATCGTAAGCGGAGATTTTCTCCGGAACCGTAATCGGGATTTTCGGCTGGGAGGCCAGCCAAAGGCCAGCGGGGCAGCGACCCGAAGGACCCTGGTCCGAGGGAGTGCCCCGAGCTGCACGCGGAGGACGAGGAGGCCACTCACATGGTGTCTGCACTCCAGCTGAGCATCTTCTTGAAGATCTTCTCGGTGTGGGGGGTCACCTTGATGGGGGTGCTCTCGGGCAGGGTCGGCGAGGAGCTGCCGTCCTCGGGCGAGCCGAGGCCCGGGGTGCCTCCCAGCCCGGACTCCACGTCCACATCATCCTCCACCATGTGCGCGGCGGGGTCCGGGTTCTCCATGGCGATCCACACACAATCACAACAAGAAGCACTCCAGGTATCACTGCACTACAACTCGCGGCGCTCGCGGCGGGGCCAGGGCCAGGGCCGCGTTCCTAGCGTCCTGGACGTCCTGGACGGTCGGTCCCGGCAGGGCTAGCGCGACGCTGCTGACGCGACGCGGGCGGGACGCGGCTCAGGGCCTAAGGTTGAACGCGGCGGGGAGGTTCGCTCACGACTGACTCCGGTTCTCCGGCCTGGGGCCTGCCGTGGTGGGGCCGTAAGCCGTGGCGGGGCAGGCCAAGCAGGCCAAGCAGGCGAAGCACCTCGGGCCAGGCCAGCCAGGCCGTGCCGCCGTGCCGTCCGTACAGCCTGCTGGCGAGCCAAGACCGTGCCCCCGCCACCGCCGCCCCCTCCACCTGCTCCACCTGCAGCTACACCCTGTTATGTGTATCTACGTATCCTCCGCCGTCTTCCCCCCTTCTCCTCTTCTCCGTGGCCGCCGTAGCCGCCGTGTCGGTTGTTTTCCTGCCGGGCCTGGACCGCCCTGCCCCCGCGGCCCCCGTGCCCCCGCCCCGCGGCGCCTCCCCCCGCGGCGTGACCTTCCCAAGCGCTTCCTCACGCACCGCCACCGCCGTGGCCGCCGTCGTGGCCGCCGCCTTCCAGCACGAGTCAACTGGAGTCCCTCGTGGTCGCCAAGTGCGGCACTGCGGTGGTGTCGCCCCCGTCCCGTCGTCCCGTCGTCTGCCCTGACGGGTCGCCGACGAGCCCTGGGCGCGGCCGGCGTCGTGTGCATCTCGCCAGTTGCCGCCGCTGCACTAGCCCGGCTAAAACCAACGCGTCTGCGAATTTTCACTAAGACTCCGTTTTCCTGTTTTCATCCTTGGCGCGCGTGATGGCTCTGCGACGCACGCAGCACCACGCGCGAAAAAAAGGATAGAAATTACTCGCGCCTCGGCCTGCCACCTCAACTTGCGTGCATTAAATAGAAACTGTTTCGGATGACCTCGTACTAATGTGTTTCCAGTGCAGGTGCCGGCGAGTGCTTTCCCCTGTTCTGCTGATACCTCTTTATAAACCACTCTCACCGGTGCTAAATTCGGCCGCTCGACGGGCCGGCCTGACACTGCTCTGAATCGTCTGAATCCACCAAGGCGCGACGCGGCGGCCGTCCTGGCTTGCGGAGTTTGCGGCGCTGGCAGGACGAAAACAATAACAATAACACGGCACCGATACGCGCGGATACGCGGAGATACACGGCGGCTGCGACGCGCCACTGCTAAAGGGGCGACCTTCACCCATTTCCCTGTTTCCCTGTTTTACCGGCCGAAGTGAAGCAGAGCTAGCACAGCTAGCAAAGCGAGTCTCTAGCCGCAGTGCGGTCTTCGCGCCGCGACTTTGCCTACCATTGCCACCACCCTGCCTGCCTGCCTGCCTGCCTGCCTGCCTGCCTGCCTGCCTGCCTGCCTGCCTGCCTGCCTGCCTGCCTGCCTGCCTGCCTGCCTCGGCTTGTCAAACTAGACAACCTGAAAAACGGCAAGCTGCTGGCATGCCCCGCGCTCGCTAGCGCCCACCCGACGGAACGGGGCTTTACTCGCCTGCAAGATTTTTTTTCTGTTGTCAACAACAATGAGAACAACAACAACAACACCGCCAGGAGAACTGAGGATCCGAGGACCTCGGGTAACCCTTAATAAAACGAGGTGGTGGCGGTGTCCGGTTTAATTGTGGGTACGGCCCGTCCCGTCCGGGTTGTCTGGGTTGTCCGGGTCGTCCGATCGAACCGTCGTATACCCCAGTCCGGCCCGCGCGGCCACCTTACCTCGCCGACGTCCACGACGTCCGGGGCGTATCATTGGCCGGCCGTCGTCGCATTCCCCAAGGGGAGCCGAAGGGGACCGAACGCGCCACTCGGGAGGGCTTCGGCACCTTCGGCACTGCTCGGGACGCGGTCCGAGTGACGTCACGCGCTGGCCCCCAGAGCAAGCAGGTTGCCATGTGGAAGACCTCGACGACAACTGATGGGTTCACTTTTTTAAACCTTTTTTCCGATCCGTCGAGAGAGGTTCTTGCCGGCGGCGCGGCTCGGCCTGCGCACGTCCGAAAAATGAGATGGCCTTATTTTTGTTTTGGCGCGACGCCGCTTGCCCCCCTGACCGCGCGAGACATGCGTGTCTCCAGCGTGGTCCTTGTGGCGGTCAGCGCAGGGGTCAGCGCTCCCCCGACGCCGCGCCGCGGTTTGGAACGCGCCCTCGACGCGGCCGCTCTAGTCGCTCAAGTGCTCATTGAGCGAGCTCAGGTCGGCGTCGGTTTTTCGACAGCGGCCCTGGCGGCCGTCGTCCCTGAGCAGGAGACTTCTTGACTGAGCACGCGATGACGGCTCGGGCCACCAGAACCATTTCGCGGACACCTCCTGAGCGCTGCGCAGCGCTGCGCACGTCGTGGGGTCGCAGTGATGCTCAAGTTATTGCGACAATTATCAAGAATCTCGGTTCGGCATTCGACCGCCGCCTCTCTCCTCCGAACAGCGCCAGTCGTCCGGCAAATACTTGAGCCGTTTGGATTTACATAGGGATACGTGACTTTTGCCCACTATGCTTCAGGATGTGGATCTTGGTTTGTGCAATCACACTCACACTACTCACTCTCTCATACACAAACACACACACACACACACACACACACACACACACACACACACACTCGCACTCACACACGCGCGTGAACACACGCACATGCAAGGCCACCTCGAAGTATTGGCCACTCGCGGGGAAATGCCTAACCCCTCTCCTCCTCTCTCTCTCCCTCTCTCTGTCCCTCTCTCTCCCTCTCTTCCTTCCCCCTTCCCGCACAGCGGCAAAGTGCAGCACGCCAGGATGGCGGGATCTGCACTGGTTGGGTTGCACGGAGCCAAAGGCGCCAACCCGATTCCCCGCCCCGCGCGCCAATCGCAAAGGGGGATATCTCTTATGGGTGCGCGTGGCCCGTCTGCGCAGCGCACCGGCAGCAGAGGTGCCAACATCTGAACCGAAAAGTGAGAGCCGACCCAGCGTGGTCCGGCAAGATGCTGCGCTGGACCGCTGTTCTCACGTGAGATCGGTAGCGCAGTGGTTAGCGTAGCCGCATATGGCTCGGGGGATGCGGGTACGACACCCACCCGGGCAGACCGCTTTTACCGCAATTTCTGTTCTCTACGTTGGTACCACTGCCTTGGGGGCGCTGACGTCACGATTAGGAGGCCGTCTTTCGTAGCATGGAGTTATACCCCTTTGGCCAATCGCGAGGTTCAGACGTTCGGACGTTTCCCAAGTGCTCTACGCTGCCGCAGCCGATGAGGAGCTGAGGCTGCTTCCACTCTCGGCCTCCCCTCTTCAGGCGGGGGCGGGCAGGGGCCTCACAGTGGGCCAGAAGACCAAACCGCTTTTTGAGCTCCAGAGTCGCTAAATGGGACCCGAACCAAACGTGTGACCCCCACCAATGGATTCCTCGTTCGGAGAGCAATCCATTGGTGGGGTCACACGTTCGGTTCGAGTCCCATTTAGCGACTCTGGAGCTCAAAACGCGTCTAGAGTTTTGGCCGCCTCCACCGGTCTTCTGACCCACTGTGGGCCGCGACGCGACGTGTCGATGAAGTGGCGCTGCACCATTTCGATAAACATAATCGTCGGCACACGGCTGCAGAACGTACGAAAGTCTAATGTTGGTGCATTATTTACAGCTCGATTTACAGGCGGCAGAGGCGTGCCTTGCCTACACTGGGCAACGGGCCTGGATCGAGTGCTGCTCCCGTACAACAGAAGACGCGCCGCTCCGAAAAAAGCCACTCACGAGACGCCAGCGATGCCAGCGATCATCATGGTGAATCTGCGTTGCAAATGTTTGCCACTCGCAGTGCGCTGGGTGGCTGGGCCTGGTGGGAAAGGGGGAGGGGAGGGGGCGCCTCTCCCTGGCCCCTCCGCCAGCTGCCTTCCTACAATTTGAATCTGATTAGGCGCCGTGGTGCCAATAGTCAAAGAGACACTTCCGCGCCGGTCGGCCGGAATTGTCACGGGCAGGACGACGTTGACTCGGCGCCAACAGGGCTGTGTGACGAGTCGTTTCGTCGCGCTCTCTCTGTCGCACTCAGGGGGCGCTCCGTAGGGGGGCGAGAGAGACAGGGCAACGAAACGGCACTGGAATTCGCCAGGAGAGTGCGCTCCGCTCCAGCCGCGCGGTTTGGGCGGCGCAGTGTGTTTGAGTGCACGGCGCGGCGGCGGCGCTGTGTGACTGTCGTGTGTGGGGGCCTGCCTGGGCCTGGGCTGCCTGGGCCTGGGCTGCCTGGGCCTGCCGCGACTGGAACCTTGGACGGGCTGAACATGGGACAGCCTGGCGGCAGCCCGATGCTCCAATTCGGGTCCAAGGTGCGCGCCAGGCAGGCAGGCAAGCCGGTGCCGCGCCGCCGCCGTCGGCCAGGCCGTCAGTCTAGGCCGTCCCGTCAGGCAGACTGTCAGGCGGACCGGCATGGCGTGCCTGCAGGCCGCGGCCGCGAGGCAGGCGCCGCGAAAAAAGGGGCGGCGCGCGAAAGAAGCAGAGAAGCGCCTCCCATTGCGCATTAGCCATGCATTACCGACCCGAGCCCCCCCCCCCCCCCCAGCCCCAGCCGGCCGAGGCCCGGAGTCGGAGAGCCAGTCCCAGTCCCAGTCACGTGGCCGCGTGATGGATCTCCTCGCGTCACCGCCGGGTCACCGCGGGGTCGGGACAGCGCGCCGACGACGACGCCGACGACGCCGAACCGGGGACCGCCTTGGCGCACGCGCGGCCGGGGAATCTTTTAATCGCACTGCTCGTCTTAATCGGCCGGGGAAGTAGTGCCTGGAGTCCCTGGAGTGCCTGGAGTCCCTGGAGCACGATGACGCTTGCACACAGCGGAGCGCGGCGGACGAATCTTATAGAGATTTTCCGGTCTCCAGGAGTCGGCAAGCTTTCCCTTCCCTGAGTCGTCGCCTGAAGGCGGCCAGGGCTGGCCAGCCTGACGCGGTGTCCACTGCGCGGCCTGCGCCCTGCTGCGTCCCTCAACAGCCCTCCCCGCGCAGCCAAGGGGCGGACAGGTCGGGCAGACATGTCTGCGTACTGCATACGCACCAATGGCAGTGCAAAGGGGGGGGGGGAGGCCATTATCGTCAGCCTTGGCTTTCCTCTGGCTCTGGGTGACGTCAAATGCGTTCAGGTTCAGCAGGATTCGCGCTCGGGCTGCTCTGCTCGGCTCGGCGGCTCGGCGCGCCGATTTCGTGCGCCCAGCCACGTAGCAGCGCACGCCGCCCGCACGCAGGGCGAGCAGGGCGTCGGCCACCTTTATGATGTTTACGGGGTTTATAGCGGCTGGTTTGAGTGAGTGTTATTTTGTTGTGAATCCACAGCGCGCTGCAGCTCATATCGGCTTATACTTGACCGCGCCGGTTCCCCTCTGGTCCCCTCGAGTACTCGCTCGTGTGCCCATCGTACGTACGACGGCGAAAAGTCGATCCTCCTTGTGTATCCGGGGCTGCTCCTTTTTGTGTGTGAATGCTCCCGTGCGTGGAAGCTATTTTAGAGGTCCGCTGGCTTTCCCCCTCTCCCCTCTCTCTCCTCCTGGCCCCGTTCGCCGCGACGCGCTTCCCGGCACAGGGAATTCCCTTGGGGGAACGAAAAGGAACGAGGCTAGAGGTACGCTGCTGCCAGCCTAATTTTTTTATGTGGTACTATTCCATGATTCTTCTTCTTGTTTCTCGTCCGATGGCGTCCCCGCAGTGCCGGTGCGTAGCAGTGCGTGGCAGTGCGTGGCGCGTGTCGCAGGCACAGCACTGTAATGAGAGGCCAGGCTGTGGCGACCGAGGACGGCGTGCTGGCGTGCAACTCACTTACACACTCGCTCGACCGCGGCACCGAAAAAGAAGCGGCGAGAGCGTCGAACGAAACCCTCATGGCAGGGTGGACCGTAGGTCCTCGACTCGACTGGAACAGCAGTCGGAAGGGTTGCCTACCTCCGCGGCGCCGTAGTGGACCTACTAGTGTGATGCCCGCCCCGAGGTCAAGCGGCCTTATCACAGGGGCTTCTTTCCGCGCGCAAGTTCGTGCACTGCACTGCCTTCGTATGTGTGTGTGTGTGTGTGTGTTCGCGCACGCCCGCGTGTTTTGAAAAAAAAGGGGGGGGTGCTTCTTGACTGGGGGAGTATTACTAGAACATAGATCAAATTGTTTAAAAATAACGGTATATTTTAAGGAAATTGACACATACAGGGTTTTTCTTTAATTGAACATGTATGTAACCGATATAAACAATTTCAGGAACAGGCTACACTTGAAAAATATTACAGATGAGTTTTACAGTCCGTGTAGTGTCAGCATCGCAGCAATCAATACCAATAAAATTAGAAAAAAAATCATAACAAAGTAATTGCAGATGTAGCTCATTAATCTCAAAATACTGCAACTCTCCAAACTTGCACAAAATACTAACTATGGAATAAAATTAACAGTACTCTAGGGTACTACCTCTTGCCTTTCCAAACATGAGTTTGCAGTATGATGGGCACAGGAGTAGTATATTCACAAAATGCTATTATGTCAAACCATACATACACAACTACTTCTTTTGTTGCTGAAATGTAAAATATTCTTAAAATACATGTGGCAGATTGTAATTTCCCTATCTAGCACAAGTCTTTGTACATAACATCTGTCACACTTCACAATTATTGAAGCAAACTATTCTCATTTCCATTTAACATATCACCATCATCACATAATTTATTACTAATTTAAGAAATTCATTGGGCAAAACATACTGTCTTAGTAAGAAATAAAAATGAAGCACCTTGTGGTAAAGCATACTTGCTCACAGCATACCAGGTGTTTCAAATTTTGAATGCCTTAGGTCTCTCTGCTACCTTTCAACAAACTGTTGTGGTAGCAATATCACAACATTATTTTTGTCTCATTTGTGTTATAAAGAAAATCAACAGTTTAGACAAAAATGACTCATGGCATTGAAATGGACACCTTGCTCTGCAAGATCGAAAATTCATTGAATAATGTAAATCTTACAAGGTATGTTTAAAAATTAAAAACTAATACGAGTCTCAATGTGGAAGTTGGAATGGACTAACATCTCACATCTTCCCACTGTTGCATGTTTACATGATTACTCCCAGGAATTCAACAATTATTTAAGCAGAGCCAGCCCACTTCAATATGATACAGAAGTAATAATTAATTAGCTATACGCAAGTGCACAATGTCGTGCAGAACAGCTGCAGATTGATATAAAGCTCATCCTGACAACTGTTGTGCTTACATAACATACTTTGCACAGCTGTAAAATATTTCATGTCAACTAATAACCTAAATAACTTATTAAAAGTCCTCTAGAAGTATTGTTGTACACAGGGTTTAGTTAATAGATTCTTTATAGATTTAGAGTTGCTTATTATCATGGTTGGACAAATTTTAATTAATTATAAACTATTTTTTAGAGGAGTACTATTTCTTGGTTACGTTCATGAGATAAATTTAATCATAGGAAGTACTGAATAAATGTTTGATAGTAAAATACATGCACGAAAGGTCAGCAATGCTGTTTTGCTTGAAGTTTCACAATTTTTCAACCCCTACTCTAGGAATGTACTTTTCTTTAAAATTCATTCTGCAAGCATAAAACGAGTGGTAGAGAGCACCTAGTTAGAACAGCCCATAAACATTCATACAGAATATATCAACTGACATAATCTAAACCTCATAATTATGCCTGTTGGTCCAATGTAGGAACTACTGCTCTTCAAATTAAAAAAAAAAACATCAACAAAAATATATATCCATGTATAATAGTTTATGAGGTGCCATTTTTAAAACAGTTCTTCCCTTCAGATAGATTGATAAAAAACATAATCTAGGATCTGAATCATACAACATTTTGAGAGAGATCTCAAGAGAAATCTCTTAAGTCAGTCAATTGATACAATTGACACAAGAGAAAAGAGAATTCCTAATTATGCAGCACTGCTGCGATTTAGGTCGCTCATGATGTTATCGTGGTGGGTGCAAAAGTTGTAGCATTGACACCCAAGGCATCCATTGTGCCATTATTGGCAGCAGCGGGTGCATACACCTTCAAAATACCCTGTACGCTGTCCTTGGTGCCCATAATTAACACAAAAACACCAAAGATACTAACGATGATATTCTTCCAAAGACGCCATTTTCCAGGTCCCAATCCAGTCTCCCAGAAAGTAATGCATTCAATGAAGCACGGAAGAATGATACCAAGAATGGAGAAGCAGAGTGCACCAATGAGACCGATGAATGGACCAATCGTGGGTACAGCAATAGCCAGGACAACTGCAACAAAAATATTAAAAACATTGTCATTGTCAATATTTAAAAATGACACCCATAATTAAGAATTTTTTAAAAATACTGTACCTGAGGTGACCACAAGGATTACTCGAACAATATATTCAGCCAAAACTGCCTTCTTTTGGTAGCGCTCTTTCAGCCCATCCCAAACAATTTCCAGGCACACAAACCACTGCAGGCCATAAGTGCAAAACACAGCCAGGCCAATCAGAACTTTCACAACTTGAGCGGGACTGAAAAATAAACGGGAGTTTATAATTATTATTATCACACACAACTGCACAATGTGGCAATTATAAATGAATGAAATATCTTACATTTCATTCGGCAAATTGAGAGTAATAACATCAGCGGTTTCTTCTCCAAAGGCCATGTAACCAAGGAAACCCAGCAATATGTAAATCATAGTTACACCAGCCATTCCTTGATTCAATACACCTCCCAGGCCAAGGAAATTTTTGGGCGTTTTCATGTTGTTTTCCAGTGGCATTACCTACAGAAAAAAAAGAAAATAGATTAAAATTGATTTTATTAAGCAAACATTTGCTTTATGAATGAAGATGTCTAAGCTAATAAGTCTACTCACCACTCCAATTGCCTCCATAGCAAAAATCACAATGCACAAAAATGGTGGAATATCCACTGGTGTACCAGCTAGTACCAGCTGGTCCATGGGTTTCAAGTTGATGGAAAGGTAATACAGAGTGATGCCAAGACCTACTCCCATAAAACCATTTGCAACCATTGAAACAGGTGCCAGGTATTTCAGATTCGGGACGAATCCCAAGAGGACAAGGGGTATTAGGAGGGCAGCAATGTAGACTCGCAATTCAACAGGTGTGGCGTATGAATCAACAACCTGCAAAGCAAATCATCAATCAGCATCCAGTGGTAAGTATGATATACTGTACACGGACATTACGACAACAGACAACTTACAGCTTTGAAATTTCCAGCAATGATAACAGTGTAAACACTGCAAGTTCCAAAGTATGTTGCAAATAAACTAATAAGAATTGTTGCCCTATAAAAAACAAAGAAACAACACAAATTGTAGTGATGGAAGAGGATTGAACAGAAGCCTTTCCGACGTTGAATCTTCATACCTGACAGCTTTTCCATATTTACGAACCCATTCAGGTCCTTCCCGGCAAGAAATTTCTCCAATATCAGCAAAGCTCATCGCTGAGGTTCTCGTTTTGTGGTAAAGAGCATGAGCACATTTGACCTGTAATAATAAAAAGGGTAAGACAAAATTTAAGGTAAAACAACACCAAAGAAAATCCTTTTTTTTTCTCTCCATACTTACAAGGATGTATGCACAGTGAGTGCAGATAATAGCTACAATGACGGTATATACGATTCCCAGTGCCAAACCAGAATACTTGAATGCAAGGGGCATGGACAGAATACCACTTCCAAGAGATGCCTTCAGAAGATGTGTCAACGTGTCGCAGTTCCTGCACAACAGATGCATTGGAAATAAATTAATAGGAGGGGCAGTAACACACCTGAGCAAAATCCCAAAACAAAACAACCCTTTCAATGCGCTGACGTGACTTGACTCTGAACCGATGTAAACATCAGAACCCTAACCCAATGACTGACTCAACCTACGATAAACCGGGCGAACTTCCCCCGTCTGTCTCTCTCTCTCGATCTTTGAGTTTAACCTCGAGAGCCGCATAAGGAAGTTGGGACGGTGGTACTCTAGGCGCCATCGTGGGTTGCGAGTGACAGAACAGTGTGAGGCGGACTGGCGGCTGGTCGACGACTAGGACCAGACGGGTGGGACGGACAGGGCTAGCAGAAAGTACTCTACCCAGCGTCCAGCGCCGGCCGAAGGCAGGAGTACGTTGGGTTGCCTGCCCTGCCGGCGCTCCGCTCTTCTCGCCGCGACGCGAACTGCGAACCCCAACCCAACCGAGAGGGAAGTGGGCGGTGGCGGTAAACACGATGTAGCAACGGCGAGGCGGATATCGCTTCGCCTTCGCCTTCGGCTCGCTTGACGCTTGACGCCCACCGGCCCAGCAGCGCCGCCTCGCGCAACATTTCTCTGGCCGCGGTGTCAACTTACGTCGTAGGGTGCTCCACGTTCCTCGCCTTGAAGGGGTCATAGTCCTTGCCGTTGAGGAGCTCGGCCGCCTCCGCGTCCAGGTTGCCGTTGGTCACCTGGTACCTGCGGCAAGAAAAAAAGACCCCGTCAGCCTCACGTCGTGCATGCGCTTGGCGTGGTGATGGTTGCTGCCCTGGGGCTGCACTGCTACACCGTGGGCGGGGCACGTACTTTCCATGGTTGAAGCTGCTGCTCTTCTTCTCGGAGCCGTCCTGGGGCACGAAGGTCTGCAGCTCGGTGGCGGGCAGCTCCTGCAAGCCAAGACGTGCATGAGCACAGTCGGTTCGTCCGGCGAACGCGTGTGTCCGTCTCCCTTCATCTCACGGTGCTGCTTGTCCTGTACTTACAGCGCCGTTGCTCGCCATGGTGATCTGCGGTCAGGTCACGGCTGCTCTCTAGAGGTCCGGGAATGACTGGGAGGAAGGTCCTGCAACAAGAAAGCCGATATGTTGAACGCGCTCGCACTTTGAGGCGCTCGCCCCGCACGCCGCGCCCAGCCGCAGACTCGTTTCGTCGCTCTGTCCTTCTCGCACCCCATGAGAGTGACAGAGGCAGCGACGAAACGACTCTTCGCAGAGCCCTTCGTCCTTCGTCCTTCGGGAAGGCACACTGCAGGGAAGTCACGCGCAACGCAAGCAGGGCTCCCAGGACCGCCCAGGACACGGCAGGAGCACGGCCCGCGCGGCACGGCGGCGCGGGAGTTGCCTACCTACGCGGCGCCCAGCCCACGCCTCGCCGAGCGTGCTGCGTGCTCGGAAAGGAAGGGACCTTATGAATAAAACACGGCCGCACGCGCAAGGAAGCACACACACAAACACACACACACACACAAACACAAGAGCCAACTCCCCATTCCACTTCTTCTCAAAGAACGAGAAAGGAAAAGGCCTCTCAGGCGAGGTACGCATTTAACGTGGCCAGCTGTCCGGCACAGACACAGAAACGCACCAAGGAACCTACACTGGCGCGCACACACACGGTCTGCTTCACGGTCTGGCACTCGTTGTGCTGGGCCGCGTTGCCGCGTTCGGGGCGATGTCCTGGGGGCTGGGGGCGCGCCGGCCGGCTTGGCGTGGCTTGGCGTGGTCACGTCTGGCCGCCCAACGGCTTGGTGCTCGGTGCGCGGCTGAGGTTGAGACTGGCGTGCGGCGGGACGGGGCCTCCGTCAGTAGGGCCCTGCCGCCGGCCGCCCCCCACCACCGCCCCCCGCGGCCCGCGGCCTCCCTACCCCTTGCCGGCATGCCCTGCCACGCCCGCCATGCCCTGCCCGCTGCAGCGCCGCCGGCTGCACCGGGAGGGTGCTAAGTGGCGGCCCGACCGCAGCGGGCCGGTGTGGACGGTGTCCGGTGAGGCGCCACACTCTCACCTCGCGGCGCCACCAAGCCCGCCCTCGTCCTGGTGGACAACACCGAGGCCAGGCGGGTCAGGGCAGTCGCCTGATCAAGTCTATTTCGGGCGCGGCGAACGCGCCAAACTGAAATGTCCGTGTTTCTGGTCCGTGGCATGAGGAAAGGCTCGGGTGTCGGGTCGGGTCTAGCCTAGCCACCCATAGCCGGGTGGCCTGGGTCGCTATGCCGCGCGGGCAGGACTCTGGACGCGGCGTTGCTGTTTGGTTTCGTCTTCGTTCGTTACTTCATTTCGTTTTTATCGGGCGCGCGACCTCCCCGATAGCGATAGAGGCAATCGCGGCTTGCCGTCTCTCCCTCTCTTTCTCTCTTTCCGCGTTTTATCTGTATCGCTCGGCTATTCTCTGCCCGCTGCCCGCGCCTGTAAACACTCGCCGTCCGCCGCCGCCCTCGCCGTGCCTGGGGACCTGCGGGGGACCTACCTGCGGGGGACCTGCGGGGCTCCAAACCGCGCCGCGGCTTCGCCAAGTGCGTCGTCGCGGTGCTGTTCCTCCCGGACAGAGCCCGCAGTGTCATCGCCATCGCGGTCCTCGAGCCACCCAGCTCGCCAACGCCAGCTGGTGTTGGAGTCAATGGCGGAGCGCGGAGCCAAAAGCCCTGAGCGCGGAGCGCGGCCGCGGCGAGGACCGACGGCCACCACGCCCCGCCCCCGCCTTCGCGCGAGCCGCGGCGACGCGAGCTCGCCGTCGTCCAAGTGGGGCAGAAGGCAGAACGGCGGCCAGGACGAGACGGACGGCGACAGGATAACGAGCGGCAAGGCGTCGGCGAACCGCGTCGGCGAACCGCGGCGAGCTGGCGACGCGAGCGCAGCGCGCGGCCAATGAAGGGACAATTTGTCGCCAAACGTGATTTCACAGCCAAGCGGCGCGGCGGTGGCGGGGCGGCCGCGCGTGCGGGGGCGGCGTGCTGCACGCCAAGCAGCCGAGCACGCGAGGATGACCGGCCCGCCGCACTTATCTCGTTATCGCTCCATTTTCACCGCACCGAAGCGCGCCGATGTGTGTGTGAGTGCGTGGGGTGGGGGCGCCCTTGGACACCGGGGCTGATGGCTCGGCGGTGATTGCCCATTCCGGTCAGTAGGGCGGTGGGTGGCTGTGCGCCGCTGGCGCCGCAGGGCAGGGGACGCACGCCGCTGGGCTTCCCTCTCTGGCACTTGTTCGCGAGGTGGAGGCGGAGAGGCACCAGAAGGGCCCCGCTTCATTATCAGCTGACCTCATGCATGACATGGGATTTCGGTGAGCCGAGTCACCTGCGTGACATCATGTTTTCGGTCGGCCCGTCGTCGCCACCGCAGTGCAACATCGCGAAACTTTAGAGGCGCCACTTCGACGAGCCCCTACCCCTAGCCCCAACTCCGGTGGCTGGCAAAGTGGCCTTTCCTCGCGGAAACGAGTTCGATCGTTTCGAGTTTGCGTTGGTTTCCTTTGGTTTCATAAGGGTGAGCAGCAAACACTTGACCACGACACACGAACTCACTGCGCGAGGGACGCCCCTCAGGGAAGTCCCTCTCCACTGGCCACTGGCTATCTCACCTCATCTCTGCGGCACTTCGCGCGGGGACAAAGTGCGCCGCTAGAGTGTTTTCGTCTCTCCGTCTCTCTCGCACTCACGGGGCGGTCCGGAGGGGTGCGAGAGAGACAGAGCGACGAGGCACTGTGCGGATTCGGCCGGCAGGCTTGCCGCCAGGTCGAGAGCGTCCTTGAACCCACGGCCACACACACACGCGCGCGCACACTCACACAAGCACAAGGACACGCGCCGGTCGCACTCACACGCCACTGCGCCGGTCCCTGCGTCACCTGGCACACACACACACCGACACAAACGAAGCCTGGCGCCTCTCTGCGCCGCGGCTTTGGCGTATTGACCCAAATCAAATCGCCTTAAGTGCCATTGCCGCGCCATGGCGTATCAGTGGTGCTTGGCGCATCGCTTTGTTTGCTCAGAAGGCTGCAGCTGTTGCCTCTCCACTGTCAAGTCGGCGCGCGACACGGCTCCGGTCCGTCGGAGCGGCGCTGCACTGCCTGCCCTGCACTGCCCCGCGCCCCGCCCACGTCAAGTTTGGATGACGTTTCAGCGCGGGCGTTAAAATGCAAAGGAATACACGACTGTTCGGCGCCTCCTCCGACGGCCGCGTGTTGTTTCGGCTCGCGGCCTTCGCTGCCCGGCAGCACGGCAACACACCGCGGGGCCGCGGCCGAAGCAGCCAAGTCGAGCGAAGCAGGCCAAAGGAGCAGCTGCGCAGCGGGGCGGCCTCAACGTGTAGATGCACTCTTATCTGGCGCTAGCCGTCCCAGACAGGCCGGGCCGGGCCGCCGGGCTCGGTGCCAAGCGCCACCGGGCCACCAGGCCGGGTCGTCGCCGTCGCCGTGCTCTGGCAGGTCCCCGATGTCCCCGACCCCTCTGCGCCAGACGGCGGCGGCGTGCATCGGTGCTCACCGAGCCGGCTGCAGGGCCGAAAGCAGCGTCTGGGGGGCGCTGGGGCCCTGGCCCTGCGAGAGGCTAGAGCGGGCTAGCGAGGCGAGGGTCGCCGCGCCGTAACCGGAGACGGCTGATAGCGACGACGACGGCGACGCCACGGCGGCGTGGCGGCGTACCGTGGGAACGCAGCCGGGAAGCAGCAGGTTGGCCATGGGGTGGATGTGGGCCAGAGGGTCGCGGTGCTGGTGCCGTTCCCCTGCACGGCGACACGCCGGCAGGCTCCCTCCGAGAAACGACAGATTTGCGGCGCGCGCGCTCGGCCCCCCCGGGCCCCGCGCCCAACCCATTGATTCCGCACATCGCTGCCGTCGCTCAGGCCCAGGCCTGTACGGAGCGTGGCGAGAGAGACCGAGCGACGCCAGCGATGTAGGGAATCAGTCTGCAGCGAATTGGTCGGACAAAGCAAATCAAATTTCCTCAACAGGCTTGCGTCGAGGCTTGGAATGCCGGCCCGTCTGCCGAGTGATTCCGAAGAGACGTTTCGTCGGCGTCTCTCTCGCGCCCCTAGGGCACGCCGGCACGCCCCACGAGTGCGATAGAGACAGCGACGCGGTTCTTCGGAATCAGTCTGCTGGGGCCCTTGGAGGAGGCGTGCCGTGCCGGCGTGCCGCGTGGGGCCCTGGGTGCTCTGGGCGGGCACCGCGGCCGGGCAATGGTCACTGACCTTAGCCTCGGTTCGGCCCGGCGATGGGTGCGCGCCCCGCCCCGCCCCGCCCCGGCCGCCCTGCTGGACCAACGGCCCAACGGCCCAGCGCTTAGCCACTCAGCCGCGCTCACTCAGGCCAAGGTAGTGCCAGGGCCGGGCGGACGGGCCAAGGAGACGCCAAGGATGCTCGCGTTTGACCAGCCACAATGGGAGCCCTCCTTCCCCTCCCCGCAAGTCGTGAGCTGATCCGCGGGCATTGTGTAGTGTGGAGCGAACGACTCGGCGTGGCCAGGCGTGGCGGTCACGTGTCCGCGGGGCCCGTCCGCAAAGGGGCTGCGTACTCGCACGTACACTGCCAGAAACTTCCAAAATCAAATCGACCAATGGTCGTGTGTGACTCAAAACAAAAACGTGAAGCAACTTGACGACAACTATCCTAACAGCGGAGTGCCAGGATGACGCGGCGGTCAAAACATGACAAGCTCTGCCGGACTGTCCTGCCCCGCCCCCGCGGCCCTATTGGCCGCTATAAGCGGGTCCATGACGACGCGCGTGGAGTCGAGTGGAGTGGAGTGGAGTACCTCGTCGGCCCATTAGCAGTGTCATTACGAACCCACAGGTACTACGGGACGGGGGCTACCCACCCACGGCGCCGCGCGGGGCGGCGGGGCGGGCCGCCTTGTCAACACCGTGTCCGACAACGGTACACTCGACGGCGCGGTCCACCCCTTCTTGTAGGCGGCGGCACGCTGCGGCCCCAAAGTGGCGGCCATCAGGTCGGCGTCGAGGCGCAGCGCGCGGCGCGAGTTAAAAGTAGCGCTTTGCAATTGTGATACGTTTAAAGGCGGGTCAGCCCAGTCTGCCGGCCGGGCGGCGCGGTGCGGCGTGTCCTTG